TGGGGGGGGGGGTGGAGGTTAAAGGCAGGGAGAGCAGCTGCAGAGATGCTGGAGGGGCAGGGGGAACTGCATTCAGGGAATCAGCCTATCATTATATGCAGTCGGCTTAGTATTTATAAACTGTCCATACTCAGCATCAGTCTTTGCATTTATGCATAGCACAGTGCCTTGCTTCAGGTGGCTCTCAGTCTGTCAAACTGGGAGGTGGCAACAGGAAGTGACATTTACACGGTGAGTCTGTGGGAAAGAAGTTAAAAACTTTCCTGCTAGGAGTCTTCCCCTTCTTACCAAGCCAGCGTGCTGCAGTAATTAATGTGCTAGACTAGAGACTTGGCAGATTCTTGTCCCCACATGGCCATGAAGCTCACTGGGTAACTTGGGCCAGTTGAGCTCCTTGCAAGAGGAAAAAGGGTGGGATATAAAGGCAATCAAAACAGACAAATAAAACTGGTGTCCATTTGTGCATCCATTTCCCTAGGGTAAAACTCGGGAGGTAGCTAAGGGTCTAAGTGAGAACTGCAGAGACAATGAGCAGCAGTAAGCACAGAAGTCTGTGTTTCCCTCATTCACGGGTGCTGAGTGACAGCCTGATCACAAATTCCATGTACTCAGCTCAGGGAATGAGCTCACCTTGCCAGCCGATGTCTAATCCCACCTCCCACCAAATTACAGTGATATAGACATGCACGCACACACTGCTGTGGTTTGCTCACTGGAGGTCCAAAAAGCTGCTGTCACTGCATTAGCTCATTTGGACAGTAGAAAGCCAAGGGAAAGTCTTATTACACAGAAGCTGCTGCCAGAGCCCTGGTCTTTGCTGGGACAATTCCACAATGTGGCACTAAAACTACTCAAGCCATTAAAAGAGCAGGGATCCTTTGTGAATTAGAAACAGAGTGAGTCAGAAGGGTCTCCTGGGCCATCTAGTCTGACCCCTGGGTCCAGCCAGTTCCACTCATGACATGCCTACATTACAGTACAATGTCTTTCTTGGGATAGGATCCTGAACTCCACTCAATCCCACAGAAAGAATAAACAAGCACAAATCCATCCAATGGTGCCAGATGTTTGAAAGGAAGTTTTTGAGTGTGATGGACGAGGAATTCTCGGACTGCATCCATTCTGCTCTGAGTTGCTGCCCAAAAAATTCACACTGCTTTAAATACACAGATAAGGACACCCCTGAATTTCCTGTCCCCCAGATTATACCCTAGGTTCTGAGTGTTCTGGTCATGGCATGGCACTAAGGAGTTAACTTTCTGTCATTTTTTTCCTATCTGGATTTCCAGGCTCTGTGAAGACTATTGCACACGCTCATCTTGCTATTTGCTGCAGCTTTCCATTCCTTCCATTTGCTCATGTGTATGTGGCTTTTTTCCCTTTAGATAAACAGTGCACATGTCTGCGTGTCTCAAACATGGTTTTAAGAACTGTGCTTGCATCAGCATTCCTTTTACTTAACAGGAAATGCAGCATCTAAGCTATAGATGCTGCCCTGTGCACTTCCTATTTTAGAAACCATTTCCTCCATCCCCTTGCTAACTACTTGTGTTCAGTTCTCCGGATGCACTAACTTTAAAAAGTCTCTCCCCCCTCCCCTCCTGATGCTCTCTGATTGAATGCCTCCACTGACGGAGAGCTCACCACTGGTGGTTCATAGGTTTATAAGAAAAGTTGAGTTTCAAGGTACCCAATTTCCCAGTGGCTGTATAATTATAACCTTGAAATTATACTCCTGAAGTTTACTGAAGAAAAGCTGACATTTCAATGAACCTGGTTGCTCATGCATCTGGCGTACTTGGAATGGGAGAAAATGCAAATTAACAGAAACACTGCACCAGTTAGAACATAAATTACAGCAATTCCATATGAGCAAACAGGTGTCGTAGGAAATCCAGGACCACCAATCTCTAGAAGGCCTGCTGAGCAGGTGAAATGTATTTGGACTTGGAAGGACAGGCAAATTCCGTAATAGCTTTTGCTCTGCTGATGGTTGAATTGTGTCCTGTTGCAGCTGGGTGCATTGGCAAAAGAGCTGATCACTTTACCATGTATCTAGCTGCGACAATTTAACTTAGCTCACATTACACCATGTTGGAAGGCTGACCCAATTTGGTCCTCCATCTTTGTTGTTTGGATTGCAGTGAACCCTCAAAATGTAGCACTGGATGTAAAAGAATTCAACCGGTGTGTCATCTAGCAAGCGTGCGATCTGTCCATTCATTGTATTACCATTTTCAGCCTCCCTTGCCAGTGACTGCCCCTTCACAAACACTCAAAGGACACTTTGGAAGGACTGTCACTCATTTGCCACAGATTTGTTAAAAAACTGGTGCTTTGGGAGTATGCATATGGAGTCGTATTCTTTCCCCAGTGTTTTGCACGTGTTCAAGTACAAGAATTCATACCTCCAGGGTTGTCTTGCCTAGTCAATTTCCTTGTATTTTTAAAACATCAACAATCAGATAATAATTTTAAAAAGTCAAAAGAAGTGCACCAAAGAGTGGGAAGACAGTATCACCTGGCTATGTAATTTTCTTTCTATGAAGTTTTGGATTGCCTCTTGTCCCTGTCCTCCTTCTTTTTGACACTTCTGTGAGTCACCAGCAATCTAGGGATGGGAGTTATTGGCTCTCTGTCCCTTTTGCCATGGCTTTTTGAGGTGGTTATTGCCACAGCACAATTTTCCCCTTCATCTACTGCCCAGCTTCTAAATTTGCACAAATATTCCCAACAGTTCAAAACAACACTTAGGAAGTGGCTGCATGGGATAGAGTAAGCATGGTTACTGCTGATGCAGGTGCAACATTTGGGGTGCCCCATTCAGTTAGTCTCACACCAAAAATGCCCCCATTTGAGTACTCCTGAAGTACTGAAAAGATAGTTTTTAAAGGCAGTGAACAAAGTGCCAAAAAGAGGATAGCAAGTGGAACAGGATGGAGGCTAAGGCAAGAAGCCCACCTGGTTGCGCCACAAAGGTGCCAAAGAAGCATGCTGAAGCCAGTGGAAGGACTGGGGGTATCAGGGGCAATAAGAAGCCATGAAGTGCCACTGATTTTCAGTGAACAACCAACACACAATGATTTATTCAGAGTGTCTTACCATGATGTGTGAACCCAAATAGTCAGTGCAATGGAAGAAAGAGAACTGGAAAGTAATTGAACTGTGTAATTTACAAAGGATGCTTCCAGGAACAGGGTACCTAGTGTTACCCTTCAAAAGGAACTGTGCAGCTATTCCATCTTTTTCTTCTTCCTCCAATAAGAAGAAAAGATAGAAGAAGTAATTGGAAAACATGGACTGGCTGTAAATGGAAGATGATGTCATCTGTGTCCCCTCTAAAACTCCATGAAGAGGCAGAGTGCTGGCAAAATGCAAACCTCATCTAGAAACACTCACAGACAAAGATTAGAAGTCAGATTTTGGGCTTGCAAGCTGGTGGCACATAGGTTGTTTTTTCCCCCAGAGTGAAAAAAGGACCAAGTGCAATTCAAAATCTTCCCTCTACTGAGGAAAAAGTCCTGAAAGGGAGTAATTAGGTAGCTTGAGGCAAAAACACTGTAACTGGGCTGCTGGGATTAGTGTAGCTGGTACCAGGCTTCTGAACAGAACTGTAGGAGGGCATTCTTCAGAAGCACAGCCTTTTTAACACATGACAAGCCGTGCTAGATCAGAACGAAGGGTTATTTAGTCCAGCATTCCACTCCCACAGTAGCCAACCAGATATCTGTAGAAATCCTACAAACTCCACACAGGCACAACAGCACCTTTCTGATCATGTCCTGCAGAAATTGATACTGAGACATGCAATGTCTCTGATACTGGAGGTGATATGCAGCCATCAGAACTATTAGCCATCGATAGCCTCTTTCTCATGAAATTGTCTAGTTCTAAGTTGGCAGCCAACTTTACAACTTGTGTTAGTGAATTCAATAGTTCAAGTATGTGCTGCATAAAGAAATTCTTGCTTTTATTTGTTCTGTATCTCCCACCATTCAGGATCATGGGGGGAGGTTCTACTATTACAAGAGAGGATCAGTACTTCATTACCCAATACTGAATCAGATGGACCAATGAACTAATTAATTATAAGGCAACTTCTCTTCCTATGAATAGCAGAAGAACTCACAAGGCTTTGTTCAGGCTCTGACACACTGATATGGGGGTAGGGCACCAATGTGAGGCTTCCACTAAAAACTAGACCTGAGTTCAAGTTCCCCTTTTCCTTTGCCCCTCTGCAGGTCTTCCTGCAGATGTTCATGAATTAATATAACCTCTGGTTTAAGTTGTCCATATGATTGGCCATCATTACATTTTGTGGTGGCAAATCCCATAGTTTAACCATGCACTTTCTGAAGATGTAATTTCCTTTTACCTGTCCCAAAACTTGCAGTTTCATTGGATGAATTGATAGTCTAGTATGATAAAAGTATTTCTCTCTATCCATTTTCTCAACAACATGCATACTTTCATAGACCTCTAAGATATCCCTTGAACTAATTTTTTCCTATGCTTTTCCACTTCCATGCTGGAGTATGACTTATTAACATTTTGCGTGAGTCAAATGACACATTATATACTTTGGTTAAAATGGCACCTTGGAGAAGTATGCCTTGGCTGCCACAATGAGCAAGCATCCTATAGGCACATCAAAGGATGTGCACAGGACAGAACCAACCAGCCAACCAAAACTATTTAAAACAACCACAAAACAACAACTATTTAAAACAACCACAAATTTTGTAGGAGTGATATTCTTGCAATGCCAAATCAGCTACAATGTGTCAAAAACAAGGCTTTTTCAAAACTTTTGTCCCATCAAAATAGACCAATTTAAACTTGCTACTGGATAAGTTCCACTGGTTTTTCTGTTCTTTGATGTCAGGAGGGAACAGGAAAAAAATGGTCAGAATGGGATGTGGCCAGAAAAATTGTATGATGTACACCCAGATGAACCCCTGTGGCCAAGAGTAGGAGGAGCCCAGGAGCAAAAGTCTTACCTGTGAGTTACCTGAGACCCCCGCAAACTGGACATGGTCTCCTCCAGGTTTTGCCGTAGGTCAAGCACATTCTGCACAGTCCTCTTTCTCTGGGATTCAGGATCTGTTGGAAGAAAAAGGTATTGGTTCCTCAGTGAATTGTGGAAAGGATAATACATAAGTAAAAGATACAGTTTCAATGAGTCCACATATGGCTCTCATCCATCTACTTGTCTGTTAATTGGCAGCACGGCATCTATACTCTTACCGCACTTTGCACGAATGCACCGTTCATCCGTGCCACTTGCATGTGCTTCTCTTTCTGTCTGAGTTGACAGCATGTATGTGCACAGCCTCTGAATAATCCAATTTGGCAGTGATGGGAAAGTAAGTTATATAAAGGACCAAACACTTGGAGAAAAATAATGGCACCAGGGTCCTAAGCCCATCTGCTTTTAAAATTGGATCTTGAATGAACAGTGATAAGACATAGCATATGGGGAAAAGCTCACCATTAATACTTCAGTTCCTTTTTCCTGAGCAAGGTCCTTTCTGTGCCATTTGTCTTTCAGCAATTTCTTCACCTACTCTATTTCCTCACAGGTCTTTATGTCCTTTCCACATCACTTTCCTCATTATATTTCTCTAAGGTTCCTGAACTGTGAGGAATTGTGGAAGACCAAATACTACTTTTCCGTTCCTCTTGCAAGACAGAAATTGTCCCCATTGGATGAGTCAGAGTGCTAAGCACTTTCGAGTGGAACAGATATTCTTGAAGAGCCCTTAGTTTTAATGCAAAGACCATAATATATTACTAATTTTCCTTTGTAATTATTTTTTTATTCTCCAGTCTAATATGCTATCCACAGTCAAAAGAGAAACTTCTTGCTTGCCAAGTGCTACATGCTACATGTATATCTTGTACTCACACATATGCATGCATGCACACACATGCACACGCACAAGCACGCACGCACACACCACACATATCTTTTCAGTGACTCTTCCAGGATTGTTTACAAAAACAGTCCTTCTGCCTCATAGCTCTCATCTAGACCAGCTATAACTATGCAAGTTGCAGTCCAACACATCTGGAAGGTCTAGGTTGGGACAGACAACCAAACCAAGCATTCATGAATGTGAATGTCGTTGCCTCCCACAGCATCCCACTCCTGTAAATTAACAAATGTGACATGAAGGAAACTGTTTGCCAATCTGTTTGCCAGATCTCATAGGAGTAAAGATGCATGCCTGCATTGGCCTCCTGCTGAGCTGTCATAAGCAGACCTTATAGTGAACTCAGAACACTCTGCCTCAAAGGCTTAGTAGTAACTAATAGCACTGAATCAATACTCACAGTCAGTGGCAGCAACTGTAGCTTGCTATCTGCTAAAGTAGTGGTTATTGAACTGTGTTGCAGGGATCCCTGGGGCGAATATTAATAGGGGCCCTTAAATAAGAAGTGTTGGTCACCCAAAATTAATTCTGGTGCCACTGAATGCCTGTTAGGGTAGGTTGTAGAGTAGCTTGAAGCATAGAAATATTATTTGAAATAGGTTTGATTATTAGTTCTGGGAAATTTTCATCTCATGTTTTGCGATGCTTGAGCCATGGGTAGTGCACAGATAGACAACTGACATTACAGCATTTGCCTCATCCTATTTTCATCTGGCACATGACAACACATCTGGCAATCAAATCTGATTTACGAATCTCAGCCTGCAGATTCCTGCTTGCGATCTACCTGGCAGGAGTGGAATCATATGCCACACTTGAAAGTCATTTTCCGCATAGCCATAAGATCTGTGCTGGTAACGCTGAAGGAAAAATTCAGTGGGGAAGGGAGGAAACCTCTAAAACCCCCAAACAAAACAGCCATAATGGAAACTCCGGGAAAGCAGCCAGTTGATTGAAGTTGGAAGGAATGACAGCAGCTGATACACTCAACAGCAGGTATGCTCATTCCCTGGGATATGAGCTGCTGCAGCTCCTCTCAGGAATTCCAGCCTGACCTCACAGGCAGGCCTCTGAAGTCAGCTGCTCAGGCTGAAGATGGCTTGCATTGCCAAGGGAAGCTGAGGAGAGCTGCACAATCATACAGCTAATGCAGGCATGCAGGAGTAATCGCTCTCTGCATGATGAGTGAGCAATTTCCTGCTACTGTTTAATTACGTATCAACATGTAACTTGTCGACATTCCTATCTAAAGAGTCAGGTAATATAAATATGAAGGACAAGGCTTAACCAAAGAATCGAGAAACTCCAAATGGGAAAGCTAAGGGTTAATGGTTGGTTGGTGGAGGGAAGCAAGGCCAGCGTGCTCTGATGCAAAGCTATTGCAGCCCTAGAGTAGCAAAAGTTGCTGGGGGCCAAGTGCATATTCTGCCCCCACTCCCTGCCTCTGGAACCTTCTATTTCACCCCCAGAAAGGTCATCCCACTACTCTTGAAATAAGTACACCTTCAGCTTTGCACCTACCAACACCCTGCATGTGCCAAGATGTAGTCACTCAAGTTTGTGATACTTCCAATTGCTTTATTCCAACTTACAAAGACAGTGGTCCCTTCCTGATTGCACAGTCCAACTGGACTGAAAGTAAATTCTATAATAATATATGTGTGTGTGCACACACAGAGATGCATATACAGTTCTTCCTGATGAGCCTGGAAGCAGCCTCTGTCAGAGCACCGAGGTTCAAAAGGAAAGGAACTCTTTTTCCCAGAGTTTCCATTATGGTTCCTGCTTTGTTTGGGGTTTTTTAAAGTTTTCCCCCTTCCCCATCACCTCTTTTCCTTCAGAACTGCCACCCCAGGTGCTCTGGCTTTGCTGAAAACAGCAAGGTCTCTCATGTCAAATCCTCACAGTCCAAGGGGTGAGAATACCCTTTGCATGCAGGAGATCGATGAATGGACCAGCATGAGGGTTGCTCAGGAAGATGAGTTAGATTAAGAAACATATTTAGGGTCTCTGTCACTAAGTCCCTTTGTGCCCCTCCAAGGAATTTGTCAAAATGTAGCTCCCTATATTACACAGTGGACAGTGGTTTTGAGCATGAATAGTAACGCGGTTCCAGTCCATAAGCCTAAAGATGCACTCAGTCTGGAAACAGAGCGTGACACTTTTGACCTACAGCTTCACAAGCAGGAGTGCTGCCCTGTCCTGTCCTCCCACCTAGACTGTGAAATACACAAGTAATATAGAAAAATGTTAGGTCAAGACAGTTTTAGAAAGTGTGTAAGTTGACTACAAGATTTTCTGGCAAGAAATATTGCTTGGAACCTTTCCTGAGCAGCTTCTCTTGCCCCTGCTTCCCATCCACACAGATTTTCTTTCCTTGAGCAAGAAAGCAATTGGTTTGAGCTGTACAATTCAGACACAGTTCCAGATGTTACAGCCTGCAGCAGCCAGAAAGGTGGCTTAAGTCACTTATTATACATACAGTAGCAGCAGGGTAGGAACCTGAGGTGAGAGTTCAAACCACACACAGAGTACATAGGGTACTCTAGGGCCAATAGGAGTGAAGTAGGCCCACTTCCAGTTTGGATCTGCATACTTAAAATAATAAACCCCAGGTGCATACAGAAATGCTGGACTAACCAAACATTCTATGTTCAGCAAATTATTGCAGTAAAAGCTGAAACAAAGAGTTTGCAAATGGGTAGTAAACTTGATCACCAACTGAAGAGGAGCTCCACATAAGCTCCACTTCTGAGTTTTCTAAGTACAAATCATCTCAAATTTGAGCTGATTTTCAAACTGAATTTGGGAAATGAGCAGAAGTGGGAGAAAATAGTTCGTGCATGGATTCAAGATTCATAACAATTTTACATCTCTAGCTTAGGCCAGACATCATCATATAAACTGAAGCACAGAGACAATTAAAACTATGGCCAGATTTTTAATGTCCAATGACCTACAGCAGCTGCACTAATTTCACATGCATCTGAGCTTGAATGTTTTACATACATCTGATATCCTAGATCTGTTTCACAGGAACTTCGCACTGTGGGGTACATATTATGCCACCAATTGATATGACAGACACCGAGAAACATGATACATTATATTCATGTATATTATATGATCATTGCATTAGTTCTTGAGTACTGGCTTACAAAACCAGTATTAAGCATGTCTTACCACTCCTTGTTTCCAAACAACAGCTACTCAGCAGAAACAAATATTATGACTGAAGTGTTACTTTACCAGCTTAAGCACATTTGAAAAGAGTGGCTTTAATCAGGATGTCTCAGACATAAAAACAAAGCTTTATTACAAATCATGTACAGTTATTTAAAATATTTACTGAATATTAAATTTTGTATCATCTTCTTCAATCATCTATGTGCAATACAGTGCTTGACTTACTAGAATTTTGGTGCCATGGCGCACATTGATCTGGTTCACAGAATGCTACAGCCCCTCAGCCATGCTGAATTGTTACAATGTGTGAACTCAGCACAGTTTCTGTAGGGTGGCTTATTTTTTATGAACAGGTCACCCTAAGAAACCATGGTTTGTTTTAGGGTTAATACTTATGGTGGCTTGCTGTGGTGTCTGAACCCAACCGGGCAACTTCATCATGGGTTGCTGGCAACCTATTGCAGCGCAACTGTGCTTCTCTAAAATATCTTTAAAAAAATCAACAAACATCCTCCTGGCTACCAAATCCGTGAAAAACAAGTAGCTGCACTGTTACAGCATGTAATAGTGGATGGAAGATCCTTTCATCCACTCTGGAACTAGTGAAGGAGGCAGAGGAACCACATGAGAAGTAATCCCTGCTATGAAAATTGTGGTGTTACAAGTATATTCCTCTTTTCTTTTTATCTGTCAGTTGTGCTTGTTAAAGCTAAAGCTATTGTCATGAACACTCACCCTCCAAAATTGTCACCCTCTCCACTATTACTCCTCCTCTGCTCCATAATGAACCTCCAAAAATGCCATTTATATGAAAGGCAACTGGCCAGGCAGGGAGCCAAAAGGGTTCTGACATCAGGTGGTAAGCTTGATATTATGTTGATCCAGTTTAATTTACCAAGGGCAAAACATTTCTAGCCCAGATACAATGGATCTCAATACATAAACATTTTAACATTTTAGATCCTACTTCTTGTATCCATC